GTAAAGGTAAAGGGACCCCTGACCATTAGGTCCAGTCATGACCGACTCTGGGGTTGCGGCACTCATCTCGCTTTATTGGCTGAGGGAGCCGGCGTACAGCTTCCGGGTCATGTGGCCAACATGACTAAGCCGCTTCTGGCGAACCAGAGCAGTGCACGGAAACGCTGTTTACCTTCCCGCCGGAGTGGTACCTATTTATCTACTTCCACTTTGATGTGCTTTTGAACTGCTAGGTTGGCAGGAGCAGGGACCGAGCAACGGGAGCTCACCCCGTTGTGGGGATTCGAACTGCCAACCTTCTGATCGGCAAGTCCTAGGCTCTGTGGTTTAACCCACAGCGCCACCCGCGTCCCATGCTGCACTTAGTAGTGTAGAACTAACTGCAAAAGGTTTCATAAAAGCCTGACTCCTTGATTTTGGTCCTTCTCTTAGAGACCCGGTGACAAGGCTCAAACCTTGAGCTACTAGTCTCCACAATGACTTTTCTATCCATTCTCTTAGTTCCAGATTTTGCTCGACCATAGACCAAATAATGCAGAATTCAAGCAACTACACAGAAAGAGAAGTTTTGTCCATCTGCCCCAGTTCATAGACCAGGAGTTACCTTAGCTGGTCTGAACAATCCAGACCACCTGAGTCTGGGGGTTTCTATAATATCCTGCCTCCATTAAACTCCACACATAATACAGCACATCACATGGGAAAGTTTAAGGAACATGAGGTTTTATTAAAACCAGGAGCCTGTATGTCTGCAGGGGGGTACTATAGCGGTATTACAAGCTTCTTATCTTGCAACGAAAAGGTTTGCATTTCTTAGTGTCTGTTCTTTTAGGCTACTATTTTTCCCTTGATCCCTCCCCCCTCCCTCCCTCCCCACCCCAGTTTCATGTAGATTCATTGCTATTTAATGCAACTGCTCAAAAAAATAAAAAAATAAAAATCCACAATGCAATTTATGACAAAACCATCTCATTTTATAAATTGTTTCAATGAAGGTCAAGTTTAGCAGAACATCGTCATTTTCCAATGAAGTCCAGAGCTTTCAAAGGGGAATGCAGTCTGTTTCTAAACAGTGTATGAAAGTGTGTGAGAGTGACAGAGAGAGAAAATAAAAAAAACAGAATGTATAGTATCGATGACCCTCCTGTCCTGTATAACGTTTGCATTATTTTGACATTGCACCTCCATCCTGGCTGGTATCTGTGAGTTGAACAAACTCACCAAAGTTCATCCTGCTCTGCAAAATGTAGAGAAGACCAAATTAATGTTGCCTTTTGTTTGCTATTAAACTATTATGAGTCACAACCTGTGTGACCAAGTGGAGAGATGGACCAGGTTATATGGAGCCTTGGCTTCCAGAGAAGGACTTGGGATAAAGTCACTGGATTTGGGGATTCCTGTAGCTCAGGGGTACAGAACACATGCAGAAGTCCCCAAGTCCAGTCCATGGCACCTCTAAGTAGAACAGGGAGAGATCCCCATCTGGAAAGCTGCTGACAGCCAGTGCATGTGCATAATAATAAGACAGATGGGCCAATGTTCTAATATAGAAGTACAGTGGTACCTCGGGTTAAGTACTTAATTCGTTCCGGAGGTCCGTTCTTAACCTGAAACTGTTCTTAACCTGAAGCACTTTAGCTAATGGAGCCTCCTACTGCCGCTGCGCCGCAGGAGCACGATTTCTGTTCTCATCCTGAAGCAAAGTTCTTAACCTGATGCACAATTTCTGGGTTAGCGAAGTCTGTAACCTGAAGCGTCTGTAACCCGAGGTATCACTGCACAGTTTCCTGTGTTCCTACCCACAAACTAGGGATGGGAGAGAAAAAAGAGGAGGCAAATGCTAAACCTTTTATTATTTTTTTAAAATTATTGGTTTTTCCATGTATACATCCTCTAACAATATTTCTCTAACAATTTTCCATATCCCTCCCCAACCTGGACTTCACTCATATTCCCATTTTGTTTTATTTCCATATTACTCACCCTGCGTGTTGTTTCCCAAAATTTCTCCAATACATATAATCTTACTTTTTGTTACATACAGTTGTGTTTGTTTATTCAAACCCTGCCAGTGAGTCCAATTCTTTATGTTGCTTCTTCATATATGTTGTAAATGGTTCCCATTCTCTTTTAAAGTCTTTGTTGTCCTTTTCATGTAATTTAGCTGTTAATTTTGCCAGTTCTGCATATTCTATGCTAAACACTTTAAAGCATTTTTTAAATGTTAAATGTGCTCTAGCTATGTATATATAGACCTGAAACCAAACCAGTGAGATGAGTTCCAAATCTGTAATTTGAAGGGAAAATATACCTCTGCAATTGAAATTTTTATCTCTGATTCCAGGTTAAAATGTGCCCACTGGATATGTTTTGGGGTTTTTTCATATAAGTGTACAAGATATGTGAAATTTCAGAGGTAACACCTCACTCACCCACCCCAATGCAAAAGGTAGAAAGTCTTGTTCCATTGATCATGTAAGAGGAGAAGGCTCTCCACATTCATCTGATCCAACTCCTTTCCTATGTAATAAACCTACTACTGCAGCACCCTTGATAGTCTTTTTAAGTAGAGGCTAGATGGACATCTAATGAAAGAGATTCCATTATCTTCTAAGGCAGTCTGTTCCTCCATTATACAGTTTATACGGTCAATAAGTTCTTCCTAATCCCTTTTCTTGAACCCTCTGGTTCTTGGCTTTCCCAGTCCAAATGCTTCATAAAAGGTAAAGGGACCCCTGACCATTAGGTCCAGTCGTGGCCGACTCTGGGGTTGCGGCGCTCATCTTGCTTTATTGGCCGAGGGAGCCGGCCTACAGCTTCCGGGTCATGTGGCCAGCATGACAAAGCCACTTCTGGCGAACCAGAGCAGCGCATGGAAATGCCATTTACCTTCCCGCTGGAGTGGTACCTATTTATCTACTTGCACTTTGATGTGCTTTCGAGCTGCTAGGTTGGCAGGAGCAGGGACCGAGCAACAGGAGCTCACCCCGTCGCGGGGATTCGAACCGCCGACTTTCTGATCGGCAACTCCTAGGCTCTGTGGTTTAACCCGCAGCACCACTCGCATCCCACATACTGCCTTCCAATTGCAGGACTGATGTTGTGCACCCATATTACCTTCTGTGCCTGAAGATCCTGAGGTCTGAACAGAGGCAATCCCAGAGGACCCACTATAGCAAACTCTAGCCTCTGCCAGTGTTGGCTCATGGTCCAACTCTGAAGACCTTAACACAGAACTTGATTCCTGCATCTGTCCTCCTTCAAAGCTGCTGTTTAATGTGTGACAGGATACACAATAACAGATAGAAGGGCTGTTTGGGGATAGCTTAATCTTAAAGAACATTCAAGCACTTGAGTGGAAGAGAGTGATTCCACAGAGAGATAATGGAATCTGGAAAAGCATCTTTGTTGTTCTCTTGGTTGATTAGCTTGTGTCCAGTTCTGTGGGAATGTGAGGCTCATAAGGGGGAGCAGGCAAAGTTCAGGGCAAGAGTCGCGTGTCCAGCAGAGAACGTGCAGAACCTTGGACAGCTCCAAGGAGTCTTGTTAAGACCTACCGTATTTTTCACCCCATAGGACGCACTTTTTCCCCTCCAAAAATGAAGGGGAAATGTGTGTGCGTCCTATGGGGCAAATGCAGGCTTTCGCTGAAGCCTGGAGAGCGAGAGGCATCGGTGCGCACCGACCCCTCTCGCTCTCCAGGCTTCAGGAAGCTATCCGCAAGCCTTGCAAGCCCGGCGGGAGTTCCCGTGGGCTCACAAGGCTTGCGGGCAGCAGCCTGCAGCCCTGGCGAGTGTCCGCAAGCCTTGCGCGCCCGGCAGGAGGTCCCGCCGGGCGCGCGAGGCTTGGGGCGGCAGCCTGTCGCCCGAAGCACGGGGAGCCCTCAGGAGGGTGCCCCGTGCTTCGGGCAGGTGTGCGCAAGGCTTGGGGCGGCAGCCACGGAGGGGGGGGGGAATAAAAAATTTTTATTCATTCCCCCCCCCCAAAAAAACGAGGTGCGTCCTATGGGCCGGTGTGCCCTATAGGACGAAAAATACGTAAGTAAGATTGAGGGCTTGTCTACACTTCCCAGTGCCTAGAAAACATGGGTGAGAGCAGTTTTCTAGGCATGAGTTCATGCAGTTTCCCATTTTCTGCACAGCTTTCCCTAGAAAACCTGCTCTCCAGTGCTGAATTGGAGCAAACAGCAATCTGCAGAAAACCCAACTGATGTTTGCTCCGATTCAGCAGTAAAGGTCAGCTTTCACCCAGGGGCTCTGTGGTGGAATGGGTCGGTGTGCCTGGCTGTTAAACAGAAGGTTGATGGCTTGAGCCCACCCAGGGACAGCTGTGGGCAAGGGTCCTGCATTGCAGGGGGTTGGATGGCCCTCGGGGACTCTTCCAACTCTACAATGCTATAATTGTATGACAGCAGTGGGACATGTAGAAGTCTGGATGAGCCCAGTGTCTCTGCAGGGAGCTAGAGCCAACTGAATCCTTAGGGGTTTGACCAGTCGCTGGAGGAGATGGCTGGCTGGCTGGTCAATGAGCCTCCATTTTATTTTGCAGTCTTTTGATTCTGCAAGGCTTGGGGAGGCAGTGGTACTGCAGGGGACTCATCCATTGAGTCAGAGGATGGTTGCAGGGCTCTGTGCTTTGACCATGAGGTCCCTGAATGAGATACTGATAGTTCTCCCCTTGGGGAAATAGCCAGAACTTCATCAGAGTCCTCTGCCACACACTGCAGGTACCCTGGTTCATGGATCTGCTTTGCTTTTAAAGTGTGGACTTCACATACAAACCCAGAGTTCTCACATATGTAAACCTGACACCCCCTTTTTTGGGGGGGGGTGTCTTTTGACACTGAGACCTGAGCATGTCTCCAAACTGGTGCTACATGGAGCCAGAGAATACCACCGACTAATCATGCAAGCAGTTTATTGTAATAAAAGGGAATTCATCAAAAGAATATTAGACAGAAGCAATTGGCACAGACTTTCATAAACAGTGCAGCAACAAGAGGCAAGTTTAAAAAAGAGTTAACGCTAATTGCCCAAGATGTCAGTTCAAAAGCATGCGTGAAAACACACAGAAACTCTAGGATGCAGTAAAATTGGTCAGGGAAAGAGATGTGCGCAGATGGCTGAAGCTAGGAGAAGAGGGATTTGTCTGAAGAGGAGAATGCATGCTGCCTAGAGGAGGGAGGTTGCCAGAGGAGCTGGGTGATTTTATGTGGCTTTGAGAAAGTTGTAGGGAAAGAATTTGTTGTTGTTTAGTCATTTAGTCATGTCTGACTCTTCGTGACCCCATGGACCAGAGCACGCCAGGCACTCCTGTCTTCCACTGCCTCCTGCAGTTTGGTCAAACTCATGCTGGTAGCTTCAAGAACACTGTCCAACCATCTCGTCTTCTGTCATCCCCTTCTCCTTGTGCCCTCCATCTTTCTCAACATCAGGGTCTTTTCCAGGGAGTCTTCTTTTCTCATGAGGTGGCCAAAGTATTGGAGCCTCAGCTTCAGGATCTGTCCTTCCAGTGAGCACTCAGGGCTGATTTCCTTCAGAATGGATAGGTTTGATCTTCTTGCAGTCCATGGGACTCTCAAGAGTCTCCTCCAGCACCATAATTCAAAAGCATCAATTCTTTGGCGATCAGCCTTCTTTATGGTCCAGCTTTCACTTCCATACACCACTACTGGGAAAACCATAGCTTTAACTATATGGACCTTTGTTGGCAAGGTGATGTCTCTGCTTTTTAAGACGCTGTCTAGGTTTGTCATTGCTTTTCTCCCAAGAAGAAGGCGTCTTTTAATTTTGTGACTGCTGTCACCATCTGCAGTGATCATGGAGCCCAAGAAAGTAAAATCTCTCATTGCTTCCATTTCTTCCCTTTCTATTTGCCAGGAGGTGATGGGACCAGTGGCCATGATCTTAGTTGATGTTGAGCTTCAGACCATATTTTGCGCTCTCCTCTTTCACCCTCATTAAAAGGTTCTTTAATTCCTCCTCACTTTCTGCCATCAAGGTTGTGTCATCTGCATATCTGAGGTTGTTGATATTTCTTCCGGCAATCTTAATTCTGGTTTGGGATTCATCCAGCCTAGCCTTTTGCATGATGAATTCTGCATATGTTAGAGGACAGCAATTGGAAGTGTTTGGGGCCATGGGTAGAGGATGATCAGAAGTAAAAGTTCCATTTCTGTAAAAGGACAGTAGTGGCTGGCTATGTGCAGTGAGAGAAGAAGAAGAAACATGAGATTCTGAAGTGAGACAATGAAGGAGGAAGAAGAGATGTCAGCAGGGGAGAAAAGAGTGCGGTTTTTCTAGGACTAAGGAACTGGTCAGTTTGAAAGCAGGAGGAAGCTGGAGTGGGGTGAGGGAGTGGAAGTTTGGCCAGTGGGTGGACTTACCAAAAATGAAGCGAGGATTGTAGTTTTTGAGTTTCTGCTATGCTGGAGCTGCGTGGTGGATGATACTTCTTCAGCAACACAGAGGAGGATGAGGAAGTCCATGGGTGAGTTCCCATTTACGGAAACAAAGTCTCCTTGGGATCCCAAAGATTCCTATTTGCTAAGGCAAGAAGCAACTGTTTTTATGCCTGAGATGGGGACTTAATGATTAAATTGAAAGCAAATACCAAAAACCCAATTTTCCTATCTTATAAAAAATCATGATGCTGTGTAACGTGGTTAAAAGGTGATGTTCTTGGTTGAACATCCCTTCCTGGTCTTTTTAAAAAAGAAAAGGTTAAAAATCAATGGTAACTGCATTGGTACCTGCCAGTTACTTCTAGGTTGGGAGCCTAATTCTCAAATATAACAAGCCAACCGAGAAGGGGCAGAGGATGCTATAGATTATTTTGGAAGCAACAGGCATAGCACGGTGGTGCTGACTGTGCATTTTGGGCTGGGTTTGGACTACAGCTCCCATCATCCATGACAGTTGGTCATGCTGGCTGGGGCTGATGGGAACTGTGATCCAAGACATCTGGGGGACATTGACTTGGGGAAGTCTGGTTTGGCGTTTCATCCACGCATTTCCTATAGGTGCCTGTGACACTAAGAAAACCCAACAGCACAGGGAAAAAAATCAAATCCCAGTTACTCTTCTCACTGCGGAGATATAAGCATTTCCCTCACCTAGAACATATTGTAGCTTGAGCGCTGGATAAAATGCATTATTCCCTCCCCAAAGTAGCTCCCTTGGGGGAGGGCAGCTGGACGCTGTGCAACAAACAAGCAACAACCGCAGATTTTTTGCGATCGTCCGGAAAGGAAAATCCATTCGGACTGTGCCCACGGCGCTGTTGTGGCCTGTGTCTGCTGGAAATTAGGTTTGTGTTATTGATGTGGATGGATAGAAACAGAGGAAGCGAGCAAAGTCTGGCATCCCTTCCTCTGAGCTTTATTTTCCCCATTATTTGTTGCTTTGGAAGATCAGTAGAGGATGAGACTAAACTTTTTTTAGAGAGACAACAATAGCATGCAGGAGAGCAGGCCTGCTGCAAAAAATAAATAAAATCTGTTTTCTGGCCCTTCAGTACTTTGCCTCCTTGTTGCCTTTGATTTAGGCCCAGTGGCTTTAATCAGCCTGTTCGAGGAGGTTCAGAAATGATTCATTTCGGCACATTCCTCCCTCTTGTTCTCTCGTTAATGTGGTTTTTAAGGATTCATGGAATATAGGGCTGCCTTGATTTTGTTTTCCAAGCTAATAACCCGATGCGGGAATCATCCATTTTGCAGCTGACAAGGTCTGTCCTTAAACCAAATTGTCTTTTCTGTGTGCTGATCTCATCCCCCATTCCTTCTGGGGGAAATTACATTTTAAAGGAACAAAATAATATAAAGTGCCTTTTAAAGCTAGCCCATTAACTGCCTTCGCCAGCTGTTTTGCGTCTATTCAGTTTCCCCGTTCGATCTTGCCTCTCGCTCCGATATTATGTGGGCCTCGGTCACTTTGAATAAGATTTTTCACACAGAGCCACACAGCATAGGCCTTAGATGTCTCTGTCTCCTGCGGTCTTGAGCCTCTGCAGCTCGGACTGGAGCTGGGGCCCATGTGTGTATTTGTTTGTGTGCATGAAGCTGCCTTATATTGAGTAGGGAGGGAGGAGAATTTAAATTCATTCATGTTTTCAAGCAGACCAGTCCAATTCACACAACCGGAACTAATACATGGTTTCAGCCTTCAGATTTTGCACTTCTCCAAATACTGCACTTCCTAGTCTCAAAGTATAAAAACGAGTTTTTAAAAAGGAAGGTTTTAGAATAAAATAGGATTTAAGAATGTGCACATTCTGTGATAGAAATATGCATTTAATTGTGTTTTAAAATTAAATTTTCAAATCTCCATATACAGTCATACCTCAGGTTGAATGTGCTTCGGGATGAGCGCGTTCGAGTTGCGCTCTGCGGCAACCCAGAAGTAACGGAGCGCGTTACTTTGCCAGCTGTTTCGCCACTTGCGCATGCGCAGATGCTCAAAATGACATCACACGCATGCGCAGCAGCTCCAAAACATGACCCGCGGGCGTGCGGACACGGGTTACATTTGCTTCTAGATGCGAACAGGGCTCCGGAACAGATTCCGTTCGCAGCTAGTGGTACCAGCCACTGTAGATTTTGTTTTCTTCCTTAAAAAAATCACAGGTTAGTGCAGAAACCGGAAGGAAGGCATGCCTGTGAAAATGGTATTGGCTTGAACTGAGTTGATCCATCCATCCATCCATCCATCCATCCATCCATCCATCCATGCATCCATCCATCCATCCATCCATCCCTAATACCCAGTCTGAACTTTGGTCCATACCCAGCTGTGTGACTGGCAATGGCTCTCCAGGGTGAAATCCTTTTAACTGGAGATGACAAAGATTGAACCTGGCGCCTTGGCATGCAAAACATGTGCTCTGCCCCTGTGTTATGCCCCTCTTCCCATGTGAGCTTGGAGCCAATCCAGGGCTGGATCTAGAGTCAGCACTGGAGGGAATCAGGCAAGGTGCCAGAGCCCAGCATGGCCAGATGCAAATGGCATGGGTTGAACAGAGGCAGGCCCAAGTTAACTCCAAAGGGCTTGAGGCAGGCAGTGGATTAAAATGACAAGCTTGATGGTCAAGGTTCCAGGGCAAGCAGACAAGGATCAAAGGGCCAGAGGCAGTTGGAAAGTGAAAGGAAAGCACAGGGTTGTCTTCTGTGGGGCTGCAGCAAACAACAAAGCCTTCTGGTCCCATTACTAAACAAACTTCCTGTCAATGGTATCTTAGTATTCTGAGAATTTTACTGGCAATCACAACTCTTCTATGCCTGAGGTCTTGACCCACTACCATCATCAAGCCAGACCCAGAAGCTTAATTCTGTGTGCCAACATTTTGACAGCAGCTGTCAGGTGACAAAAGGAACCTATGGGATTCTACCTTGTCATGGTCTGGTTCAGGGGCGATCAAAATCCTGGCTGGGGACGTCAGGACCGGGGGCAAGATGGCGGGGTGGGAGCAGGAATGGGAGTCCAGAAGCCAGGAGTCAGGAAGCCAAGAGTCCGAGGGTCAGGAAGCCAGGAGTCAGGAAGCCAGGAGTCCGAGGGTCAGGAAGCCAGGAGTCAGGAAGCCAAGAGTCCGAGGGTCAAGAAGCAAGGAGTCAAGAAGTCAGGGGTCTAAGGATCAAGAAGCAAGGTGTCACGAAGTCAGGGATCCAAGGATCAAGAAGCAAGGAGTCACGAAGTCAGGGGTCCTCACCTTCTTCTCTGTGTGTTGGCTTTAGCAGTCAGTCTGATTCGTGGATGACACCATGGCTGTATGATGTACCTGATGACATCAAAGATACCCCATAAGCAAATAAATAAAAGGATCACCGCAGCCAAACTGAGTAAATGGTAGTGTGTGGGGGGGGACGTGGGGGACAGAAAAGACAGAAATCAGTGCCAAGAAGCAGCAACAGCCAATGGGATGAGAGAGCAATGATATATTACAAGCGTTTGGGGACATTAATGGTTTATTGGTAATATGTTGAGCCATGTTGAATATGCTAATTTCAAAGCAAATACCCAAATTGGAGAGGGTTTGTGGCATCTGTGTTCACCCTTCAGCTGCGCCTGGGTGGCGTATCCCATTGCTCAGGGGTTGGGGAACACATGCAAGCAAGTGCTTAGATGGGTAAGTCAAAAGGGCAATGGGCCTCCTCTCGTATGATATTGGATAATTTGTCAGCCAGCAGGCTGCAGGAGCAAAAGGGACGTGGCATCTTTAACAGCAGGCCCCAAAGGGAATATATTTGTTAAACATTATAATTATCCTTCAGTGCTGATCTGTATAGCAATTCAATCCAGACGGATGCGCATTACCATTTCTGAAATGATGCTTTCATTTAGATAAGGCACACAATTATACATCTTGATTAGGTCACTCTTCCCCGGAGCTTTCGGGTTATTTATTATTATGGCTTGCCCCCTTCTTGTAAATTGTGCTGCCGTAGAGCTGGGGGCGGAGATGCGCTTCTCAACTTCCCTGAGTTTGTTGCCTTTGTGCTCCTTTGCTTTGGAAAACAAGAGGGGCAGAAAACATCCAGGGAAGAATATTCAGGATAGAGGTGGCCAAAGCAAAGCTATGAAATCTTCTTGAAAGAAATCTTCTTGAAAGAAAGGAGATCAAGAAGATGCCAGAGAGATTCCCATATGACTTAGTAGGAAATGAAGCTGCACTTATCAATGAGGTCAAGTGGGCTTATTAAAGGTAAAGGGACCCCTGACCATTAGGTCCAGTTGTGGCCGGCTCTGGGGTGGTGGCGCTCATCTCGCTTTATTGGCCGAGGGAGCCGGCATACAGCTTCCAGGTCATGTGGCCAGCATGACTAAGCCGCTTCTGGTGAACCAGAGCAGTGCACGGAAACGCCGTTTACCTTCCCGCCGGAGCGGTACCTATTTATCTACTTGCACTTTGACATGCTTTTGAACTGCTAGGTTGGCAGGAGCAGGGACCGAGCAACGGGAGCTCACCCTGTTGCGGGGATTCGAACCGCCGACCTTCTGATCGGCAAGTCCTAGGCTCTGTGGTTTAACCCACAGTGCCACCCGCATCCCTAGTATTCAGGATAGAGGTGGCCAAAGCAAAGCTATGAAATCTTCTTGAAAGAAAGGAGATCGAGAAGATGCCAGAGAGATTCCCATATGACTGAGTGGGAAATGAAGTTGTGGACTGACTCTGATTCCTTTAAAAGAGGGGCCATTGTGATTATTGGTTTGTTCCATTTATATGCCACAATTTTTTCCAAGGAGCTTGAGGTGGCATACATGGGTCTCTCCCCTCCTCATTAAATCCCCATAACAACCCTATGGGGTAGGTTAGGCTGGGTGGCAGCGACTGGCCCCAAGGTCACACCCAGTGAGCTTATGGCTGAGTGAGGATTTAACCGTGGTCTCCCAGGTCTTAGTTGGACACGCTAACCACTTCACCATACTGCCTCTCCATAGTGCTGGATTCAGTCAGGTCCACTGTGTTAACCAACGCTGAAAATATGTGTTTGTACATGTGGAGGCCACACTCAGAGTCCTGTCAAAGCAAGCGGGGTTGCCATACGTCCTCTTTTTCCAAGACACGTCCTCTTTTGCATGGGCATGTAAAGTGAGAGTCATCATAGCGATCCATGGTTAAAAGTAAAAGGTAAAGGTACAGAACCCCTCACTATTAGGTCCAGTCGTGACCAACTCTGGGGTTGTGGCGCTCATCTCGTTTTATTGGCTGAGAGAGCTGGCGTACAGCTTCCGGGTTATGTGGCCAGCATGACTAAGCCACTTCTGGTGAACCAGAACAGCGCACGAAAGCGCCGTTTACCTTCCCGACGGAGTGGTACCTATTTATCTACTTGTACTTTGAGGTTCTTTCGAACTGCTAGGTTGGCAGGAGCAGGGACCGAGCAATGGGATCTCACCTCGTCATGGGGATTTGAACCACTGACCTTCTGATAGGCAAGTCCTAGACTCTGTGGTTTAACCCACAGCACCACCTGTGTCCCTTATGGTTAAAAGTAGAAGTCAGCAAATGTGTCCTCTTTTTTGCTCTTCAGAATATGGCAATCCTAAGTTTTCAGCTAGGACTTCAGAGTCACAATGGACTGCCTATTTGTTATAGTTGCCAGTTTTCAGAGCTATATTGCAGCACAAAAGGGAAGAGGTGTGCAGACCAGCCTTTGTGATTGGCCAGGTCATGTGTCAGTATTAGCAGTCCGGCTTTCTTTACTGGTCAGTGGAGGATTTCCATCTGCCTGCTGCACTTTGAGTTTCGGATTCCTCATCTTCCACTTTGCTTTGCTCTGCAAGTTATTTATTTTATTAAATGTATAACAAACAAGCCGAACAGAGTATCCCAACAATTCAACACAAGGCAACGTTTCGCACTCCCAGACTTAGAACTGTATTTTGAAGCTGCCTGTCTGTGTTGGGTAAAAGACTGGGTATTGCTAGAAAATACACAGCGGCTAGATTTGGAGGGTCATGATGTCAAATACAGCTGGCACGCTTGTATTTGGTATGGCAAAGCTGGAATACGTAAAAGTTTCGCCAACCATATTATTAGGGAAAAAACTTAATTAGGGCATGGGGAAAATATAAAAACGTATTAGAGAACAAAACACCAAGGTGGCTATCGCCAATAGAAGCAGAGACAAGGGATTTTTTTTTAAAAAAAAATGAGTAACAACTGGGGAACCTATAATGAATAGTTAGACTTCAGAAGGAAAGCAAAAAAATGGGGAAAAACCCCGAAGAGATTAAAGAATATGTGTCGAATTGGCTAAACTATCACCAAAGCAACTCAAAATTTAAGGCAGATAAGAAATTCGGATTTGCAGAGAAGCCATCCCAATTCAAAAAAGAAATATTAAGATCTAGAATTTGAAAACTGCCCTGGCTGTTCTAATAGGGTTGCTATACACCCATAATTTCCCAAACAAAGCTGGAATACCACAGTTGGAAACTGTATCCGGGTGAAAATCGCTTAAATATCTGGGCAAATCCAGATGTATGACGACCCTATTAGAACTAGATTTTGGCGAAATTCCTTAAAAATAGCTCAACAATCTTTTTCACTCTGTTTTTGAGATTTTGCAAAAAGAAAAAAGAAAATCTCAGCAACTTGTTTGATAATAAGGTTTTTAATTGCACATTTAGCTACTATTAGATATCTCTAACAGTGCAGTTGTAAGCATGTTTACCCAGAAGGAAGTTCCATTGAGCTGTGTGAGGCTTACTTCCTAGTAAATGTACTTAGGAAAACAAGGGGTGGGTGGGAGGCAGGAATTTGATTGCCTAATGGCCAAGCAGTGCTTTGGCTGTTACATCCAAAGTGACACCTAGAGCACATATTGTGTCACAAACATATATGTGTGAAATTCTATACTCCAAAAACAAATTAAGATTGGTGAAAGCCAGCTGAGTCATACTCATAGTAGGCTCATTGAAATCGATGAATCACCATTAATTAAGTCCATTGATTTCAACAGAACTACTCTTGAGTATAATTAACATTGTCTATTAACCAAAGCTACTAGTAAGAGTAACTATCCAGTGTATTGTTCTCTCCTTGCAAAACCTGGAAAATACTTCCATTCAACAAAATGCATGGCAATCAGAGCCCCCCAAAATTACATGGTGTCTCTATTCCAATACTCCCTTTTGACTAGTGGCCCTTAATAATCTGCCAGGGGTATCACAAAAACACTTGCTATTTGTGTGAGTCAAACTGACGTCTTCGTTTGTTGTTGCAAAAGCCCAGGAGAGGGGAGGAAATTTTGCATTCCGTGGGAGCGCCTCTTTCACTTGCAAATATTATTTGCAACTATTATCCCCTTTTTTTGCAATTAAAAGAACCACCAGCACATGAAAAGCTAAACTACATTTGCCTTATCCTCCCATTCCTGCCTCCACACTCTTTTAAAATGTCGTAGGTTTCCATAGCGTGGCCAAGTATGAAAGTTCGTCTTCCAGTGCTGCTGTTTCTAATGCAGGAGGCAATATTTACTGTGTGTTCTAATTGCTCTCATTAAGCTTAGGTGGCATTATTAATATTACTAATTAAAGAGCTATGAAACCTAGCTTACAGTGAACACAAGCCTGCCTCTTGTGTTCCAGCCTCAGAAGCTGGCATATCCAAAATGCAAATGATGTGGAAACAGAGAGTAATCAGAGGCAATCACAGTGAAACGGCATGTTATAGCAGATATCAGGCTAAAACCATAAATGACGTCTCAGCGGCACACTTTTCCCTCTCCAGGATTTCCTGGTTAGTGGAAATCCAATAGTTTGCTGTTACAGTGGTACCTCGGTTTTCGAACAGCTTAGTTCACGAACAAGATGGAACCCGAATGCTGCAAAACCGGAAGTAGGTGTTCCGGTTTTCGAACTTTTTTCCGGAAGCCGAACATGCTCCGTTTTGAGTCCCCCTGTGTTTCCTGCTGCGCTGCTAATTTGCCCCCCCCCATTGTAATTCAAGCCTTCCGTTTCTGACTGCAATGTTCTAAGGTGATATTTGGAGCTTATATTTGGTGCTTTTGTTTTTGCTATTTATTTTGCATTTTTTGTTTCGAGGCTTTTTCAGTTAATTTGTTTTTGTGACTGTGTGGATCCCAGTTCAGTTACTGATTGATTGATTGATTGATTGATTGTGTGACTGCGGAAATGGATAAAATCCCCCCATCCAAACATTGACTATCATCAGTGCAGGTAAGATTTTTTTTTTTTTATGATCTACAATACTGTTTTATTTATTTTACAGTACAGTACATGAAGCTGTACGCTGGCTCCCTCGGCCAATAAAGCAAGATGAGCACCGCAACCCCAGAGTCGGCCACGACTGGACCTAATGGTCAGGGGTCCCTTTACCTTACATTGATTATTGCTTTCATTTTATGGATCAATGGTCTTGTTAGATAGCAAAAGCCACGTTGAATTGCTGTTTTGGGGATTGTTTTTAAAAGTCTGGAACGGATTAATCCATTTTGCATTACTTTCTATGGGAAAGCACGCCTTGGTTTTGGAACGTTTTGGTTTTGGAACGGACCTCCGGAACGGATTAAGTTTGAGAGCCAAGGTACCACTGTACATCCAAATGAGACAAGTTATGGTTTACCTCACATGAGAATGGTAAACCTTGGTTTGAACATTGTATCCAGTTCTGGTTTGCAGGGGAACCAACTGTCTCTATGTATCATTGGCTATAGTCCCCATCACACTTTGGACCAGCTCTACTGAAATTGGTCAGGCTCAGTTCTAAGCAAATGTGGATAGAAATGGGATGTAAATCTCAGGGATGGATGAATCAGCCCATTTCAGTTGGTGTCAGTTTTGGATGAGCTCCAGTCATGAGACGGTGTGTCCTGGCTTTTTGCCTGTATATATATATTCACAAGAATATTGCATTTCAGTGGTAGACATTTTGCATGCACTTCCCCGTAAAAATACACATTTTCTATGTACTTTATACTCTTTGCCCCCCTGAAATATGCTCCTTTTAAAAACTGAAATTATAAGCATTGTTTTCCATTGGAAAATGCAGGCTGCTTTTCCATTCATTGCCCCTTCAAATGTGCACATTGCATGCATTTCCCTTGTAAATGTATTTTTACATGCATATTAAAAAACAACAACCTAGAACTGCATTATGAAATTCAGGGAACTGAACAATCTGTGTTGTGATTGTCGTCTAAGTCTGGAAATGGCGAATTTGGCCAGCTGACTTTAAAATATGACTGAACAAAATTATCTTCCACCCCCTACAGTAAATTGTTTTCAGTCCAGGAACATTGGCTTAATTGGGTTGTTGACTGGGCTCTCGTCAACCCATTAGTAAGTCCGTAGCTTCAAATACAATTATTTCCTGATTCAGCCATCTAACTTGGAGACCTGCTGGCCAAGATTGACCAATTGAAAAGTTTGGTTCATTTAACCAGCACATATTCTGGATGTTTTGCCCTGCTGGGAAATCAGTCTTTGTCAAAACACCCCGGCTCTGGGTGGACTGGAAATATCATGAGGTCAGTGGGTTTTAGTGATTTTTCAGCATTTCTTCTTAGAGTCCCCTGCTGGAGTTAGGAACATTGCTGATGTGCGGAGAATTTAAATTGTATCTATTAAGTCTGACTCATGATTCTAGTTCAGACTGGATGTATTTGGAACCGCAGCTGTTCATTGAAATCCCTGCCAGTCCACACGATGCCTTGATGAAAAAACATTTCTTCTTTGTGGAGGAGTGAACAGGAGAACATAAGGAGACCTGGGGCGTATCAGGTTCAGAACCTTCATGAGAGGAGTGTGCCAGCAGTCAATCACACCATGCATGTTGGTGTTAAATCTTTATCAGCAAGAACAGGATCAGCACAGATTTGGTGGAGTGTCAGACCTCATTAGCACAGGAACTCAGGTTCTTGCTCGATGGATCAGTTGCTGAGACTAAAGGTCCTCACCACCTATGTTTCCTCTTCTCCAGAGTTTTTCCCCCAAGCAATCAGAGATTGTGCCTATGTTTCTGTTTTTGCTCCTCCCACTTCATGCCTCTCCTGGTTCTGGGAGACCAGGGGTGGAGGGGAGCTTGTCGCAGCAGGAGGGGGAGATACCTGGGACTCTTCACTAGCCCGACTCATCTCTGCCTCTTGGCCTCCCTCCTCTCACTCTCCTGCTTCAGCTTCTGCCTCTGATTCTGAGCTTCTCTCTGCCCCAGACACTCCCAGCTCATTAAGCCCTGTTACCCCTTCAGCTTCCGACACCTCCTCTTCCCAGTCTCTCCCTGGGCTCTGAGCCTTCTTCCCCTGGGGTTTCCCCAGCTGGTTCCTCCTACCATTCCTCTGTGTCCAACCAGTGCACAACACCTCATCCCACGGTGACCAATGAGATGACTCTAGGAAGCCCATAAACTGGTCGCGAGCACAATAGGAGTAAGGTTAAAACTGAACAACAGAGAAGGAAAAGAGGGTTAAAGAAATTAAAAAGCAGGTCGCATGTGGAGCACATTGGGGTTGGAAGTGGGTCTGAATATGTTGACAACGGCTGCTGCACAGAAAATACAGTGGCTTGGGAGTGACCAAAGACAGGCACAGCTAAAGCAGCTCCTCATTTCCAGTTCATGTAGACAAGAACTCTAGGTTGTCTATCAGGATGATGAACTTGCAGTAGCAGCCCACAACACGGCGTCTGAAATGGCTCAGTGACCCTGGTGCTGTTCTCAGGAGGGAATGCAGGAGTTTTCTTTGGGGGAGCGTGTGTGGGAAGTAACTCTTAGCTGACTGATGAGATAAGGCCCAGCAGAAGTTTGGTAATTATCTGCTCCAGTAGAGACAGATCAACTACAGCAATTGCCTTGTCCAGTAATGGCTTGGGGAACGGGGTGATGCACTTGTCAGATGGCAAGGTGTCACCAGTGTAGTCACCGTGGAAACCTCTTCTGGGTGCTATCAGTCCAGGAAAGGCTCGCCACAGAGCAAAACCAAGATTTTGAATGGGGCCGCTTGCAAAAACACGTTGTGCTCTCTGTCCTTCTCCAGCACTGCAAAAATACAGCAGGATTTGACCATGCAGCTCTGCCCCTACCCCTGCAAGCAGAGCGAGGGTAGGGGGACCTGGAGGGTGTTGGCATCATATGCTACTTACCTTCACGCTAGACCAGCTTTTGAGTCCATAGATGTTGTTGGACTACAACTCCCATCATCCTTAGCTAGCAGGACCAGTGTTCAGGGAGGATAAGAGCCGTAGTCCAACAACATCTGGGGATCCACTGTTGAGGAAGGCTGCTCTAGATTGTGAGGTGGTGGGATGGGGATTGTTACCTCCACCCCTCTGGGATTCCATTACTACTGTTTGTACAAAAAACTACGTAGCTACTTTGGCTGGCCATATGCCTTGCTTTACCCTACCTGTCCGCGGACTGTATCGCCAGAGTGGTGCATGCTCTAGTTATCTCCTGCTTGGACTACTGCAATGCACTCTGTGTGGGGCTACCCTTGAAGGTGACCCGGAAACTACAACTAATCCAGAATGTGGCAGCTAGACTGGTGACTGGGAGTGACCGCCGGGACCACATAACACTGGTCTTGAAAGACCTACATTGGCTTCCAGTACGTAGTATGTTTCCGAGCACAATTCAAAGTGTTGGTGTTGACCTTTAAAGTCCTAAACGGCCTTGGCCTAGTATACCTGAAGGAGCGTCTCCACCCCCATTGTTCAGCCGAGACACTGGGATCCAGCACCGAGGGCCTTCTGGCGGTTCCCTCGCTGCAAGAAGCCAAGTTACAGGGAACCAGGCAGAGGGCCTTCTCGGTGGTGGTGCCTGCCCAGTGGAACACCCTCCCATCAGATGTCAAAAAAATAAACAACTACCTGACATTTAGAAGACATCTGAAGGCAGCCCTGTTCAGGGAATTTTATAATGTGTGACATTTTAATATATTTTTAATCTTTGTTGGAAGCTGCCCAGAGTAGCTGGGGAAACCCAGCCAGATGGGAAATTATTGTTATTATTATTATTATTATTATTATTATTATTATTATTATTTTATAATTACTATTATTACAGAGGCATAATAGCAGAGATAATAGCAGGAAAGTCCTTTAAGTTTAGCTGTTCAACAGTGGAATGGACCACCTCAGAAAGTGGTGAACTCTCCTTCATTGGAGGTACCTAAGCAGAGATTAGGTCACGACTGGACCTAATGGTCAGGGGTCCCTTTACCTTTAAGCAGAGATTGGATGGCTATCTGTCAGGGATTCTTTAGCTGTGACTCCTACATTGCAGGGGTTTGGACTACATGGTCCTTGAGGCCCCTTCCGTCTCTACAATTCTATGATTCTAAGTTGCCTGGTAACAGGTAGTACCTAGACAGCAGACTGAGCCAGAACACCTCGTCACAGACGTTCCCACTCAGCTCTTTTTCATAATCTGATGGTACGTTGACAGCATTTTGGTCAGAAGTTGAGAGGCCAAGCTGTCCCACCCAAGAAGCGAGGGATGTGGGGCCCTGCGTGAGATAGGCTTTTGGCTTTCCACCTACAGCTACAGAGTTCTTTGGTTGGTTGACACTGGATGTACTGCAAATGCAAGGGGAAATAGCTATATGAATCTGACACTCTTGAAAGTCACTCTATGCTGTTGGCAGCTTTCTCCTCATTAAGTATTAGAGTGCTTGTGACCGGAGATTCACCCATTTCTGGCTTGGATGATGGACAGTCAGATTATAGAGGGGGACTCCGTCAAGCCTACTACTGAGTCAGTGGAGATTCATTCTGATCACAGAGTTGCCTCGGCGGCTACCTGACTTCAGGTGTTGTCATGTAACCTTCACACCTTCAAGCCTGTGGAAAGAGGTTGTGAGCAGGGATGCCCCCCCATTTCTACAGATGTGTTTCTGCAAACATCGGGCACAATTTAAAACAGGACTTTATAGTGCAACAGAGTCTTTTCGTGCAGTTCTTACTCAGCAGTAAAGCCCACCTTGTGAAGTAGGCCTTATTCCCGAATAAGCGTGCATAGGATTGACTTGAGTAAGACATTCATCAAAATGATGAGGGAATAGTGTTTGTGAATGCACAGACTCACACTCACACATACGCAGACGAAAAGTTCATTCTTGCCTTTCTCCTGATTTCTCTGTGTGCAGGGTCCCCACCAGCACAATGAGGGATCATTTGCTAATGCAATGGTTCCTGTAATGATGCAGCCCAGCAAGACCTTTGTCACTTGAGTCTGTCAGACACCCAAAGGTTGTGACTAACATTTGCTGGACAGCATTTGCCGTTTTCAGGGTGCTTTCAGAAGTGATGCAAGTTAGACCCATCAACCGAGCAAAGACAGTTTTTAAACTGGCTTTCAACTGAGTGCTTAATGTGGAGATTGAAACACTCATATGCTGCTCTTGGTGACCATGAAATATTTGATATTCACAACAACCGTGCAAGGTGGTTTAGGCTGGAAGAGAGCACACACGGGCGTGGCTTAGACCAAGTCAGACTGAACACCACCCTGATCACATTACAAAAACAAAGAGCCCGGTAGGGTTTTCTTTTTAAGTACTCAAAAGGTGTGCTTGTAAACCTCAAATGATTCTCTGATTGTGGTCCCTACACTGTGGGACCTCTTCTCTCTGATAATGGCGGTAACTGAAAGCAAAATAGGGCACGCCCGCTTCTATGCTATGCCATCCTTTGCTTCGAGAAAGTCAAAGAGTGGGTGGCTGGGGGCTGTTGTGAGGACTAGAGAGTTCCAGCCAGCCACCACAGCCTCCAGCAGCAGATGACATTCTGCATGGTTTTTCCTGTTTGAAAATCATAGCATTGGACTACTATCACCCATGACTCCCAGACAGCAAATGGCACTCTGCATGTCATTTGCAGCTGATGAGAGACGCCAGAGCATGTGCTCGGCCACTGGGCTATGGCCAATGGTCCATTGTTAAATTTCACAGCGGAGCAGCGGTTCAAACCCAGGCTTCCCTGGGTTTCAGCTTGCTTAAATTGGCTGAATGTGTTATGGGAGGGGCAGTACCGCTGGTGGGGGACACACTGTGCTCCTTCTGGGGTCATTTGCCCACCTTTGGTCCCTACCTTGCGCTCAGTTCTCACCTGTGGCTCCTCGAAGCTGGAGCATGTGACAGCAGCCACACCCCGGAAAATGGTTTTCACAGGTCGGCTGAACCAGGTGAAGGTAGCCAATGGGTCTCAAACCCTCAGTGAGTTAGGGTGTTCCCCTGCATGCAAAGAAAGGCTCTTGGAGACTGAGCAGACCAGACCACTAGTGATTCCAAGGGTCAAGGAGGTGGTTTCTGCACACATTGTAGAGGAAAGTGGGGGGCAGATGGGGCTCATCTATCTGGGAAGGTAACCCATGTGGGAGAAGTGAAATTCTGATCCTAAACCTCCAGTGCCTTGCAGGACATCTTTGGGAGAGGAAAAGGCTAAGGAGTAAAAACTCCTTACACAAATCCGGGGTGGTGTCCCTAAGGCGGTTGGATGGCGCCTTGTACACCTCCTTCCAGCAACTCCTGCAGCCAAACTGGTTGTTCTGCTTTCCTTTGGACCACATCAGTGAGGCCAAAAAGGGGGTCTTGTTACCTGGGCAGCCCAGGACCTCCATACAAACTGCCCAGTCTTGAGCCCCAAGGAGGTCTCTTTGGTGCTTTCTCTTGAGACAGACGGGTGCCAGCAGTACCAACTTGTAGCCCCTCATATTCTTCTGTGTCCAGCGCCAGCTATGGAATTTGTTGTCAGCTACTGCCAATTCTCTCTTACACTCTTTTTCTCTTGCTGGTAAGCAGCAAATGTGTATGTGTGTGTGTAAAATGGTGGCAGAAAGGAGAGAGAAAGAGATTCTACCAGCCAAGTAACTTAACTGCGGGATAAACCTCACCTTCTGTACCCCTCGGGAATCACACCAAAGGGGGAAAGCAAGGGGAGTTGTGTATGGAGAATACCCAATCTCTCTCTCCCCTTCCCTGCCATGAGGGCTGATTTTTGCTTAATGCATCCTCCTTGTCTTCCTTAAATCCAATTAAAAGCCTATATTATGTCAGTGGAAATTTATGCCAATCCTAATATAGTCTAATAAGCCTTAAAATAGCGCTCGGCTAGTGAGAAGCCCTGCGGTTTAATTTGATTCTGAGCCTAATCACAGGCTTTGAATGAAAGCTCCCCCCCCCCAAAAAAAAACCCTTGTCTGGACGTGCTTTCCTTCCTTTCTTGAAAGTGAAGTTGGTTATTTTTGCTTTTCACTAAGCGCAGAAAGAAAAAGCAGGGCGCTTAGTTCTTTCTCATCATCTGCCATTGCGTTCATTGGATCTCCCTTTACATCACCATTCAGTAATCCAATGCTGTTCTGTCTGACACAAAGACTCGGGTCCCAGTGATGACACCACTGGTTTACCTTGTATGGACTTAGTTGCAGCTATCCAGCACTGAGCATGGATCAACTGATTTTAGAATCTCCCTTTACACCAGATCTGGGTCTATGCACACATGCACGCGCGCACACATGTAAACCTGCAGCTTACATGTTCATGCACACAGACCTATCAATTTTGGTGGGATCTGTTCCGGAGACATTAGTACAGCACAGAGACTTATTTATTTATAAAAATATTTGCATACTGCTATCTCGTGTGTGTGTGAGTGTGTTTTACAACAATAAAACTGTACAATAAAAACCAGTAAAATGTTTAAAACATACATCAATTAACCATTGTGGAAGGGATGTATTTTTAATTACCTGCTAGAACAGAAAAGTTTTCTGCAGGCATTTAAAAGTCAGCACAGAAGGCGCCTGCTGTATCTCTGTTGCCAGAGAATTCCACAGGATTGGGCCCATGACACTGGAGACTTGGTTTCTCTTTGTTGTCAAACAGCTTCACCAACTCTGAGGGAACAACCTGCAGATGATCTCAGTGATTGAGCTGGGCTATAAGGGTTATTGCAGCGGACAAAGTTATTTTAACTTAAGCCAGTCTGCCTTGCTTGGGGTAATTATTAGGAGCCAACACATGCCAATATTAATGAATGTGACAATTTGCACAAAGCGGCGGGCAGTGAATAAGATTATTATATGGCTTAAAGTGCCAGAGCAGAAATATTGTTACATTAATCTCCACAGCGGTGTAAGATTCCAAGGAGTCCCTTGGTCCGTGTTTCCTTATGGGAAATGAGGCATAGAGGCGATGGTGGTGTCTTTATGATATATGGTTTATTTACACATATATGCAACCTGAGCCTACGATGGAGGGGTACACAGCATTCATATTCCAAGAGGCTCTGGCTTCTCCCATAGGCCCAGCAACATCATTGTTCTCTCTCCAGCCTGCTGCTTCCTAACTCCGTGGCTTAACCCCTCGCTGCTGTTCTAAACTCTAACCAGCATTGTCTTTTAAACTAAACTCTCAGTTGACAGACAGAGGAGCCCACTCATTTGCAAACAAGTTTTGCTTTTGATCCTTTGCCACACTAATGGCTCATTACCCCAGGCTATCGCCTCATGCAGGAGGGCTAGTCCTGACTTAATTGCCTTTTGACACTCATTAATTATTTAATTAATTAATGGAGCTTCATTAAAGGTCTAGCGAGGTCTAGCGCATGGCTTAAATACACACTGGGTCTGCTCACCTGGTTTTAACACACAAGCCTTAATTAACTTCTAACATTTACTGAACTCAGGAATTTAAAGGAAGCCCAACACCCACAAACTTATAGCAATGTAAAACAGGGAGATGGCTTGCTGCTGCGAATTATGCAGGCTATCCAATCCCATGGAGCATGGATCATAAGCTTTCAGTTACAGAGACCAAGGCAGATGGAGGTGCAGAGTTTGCCTTATGGGGAGAAGGGAAGTTGAATGAAAACAACTGGATTTTTGACTACCCCAGGGGTTCAGAGACAGTGAGATTAGGGAAATGAGCAAAGGAGAGATGGGAAGGCAACATGAAGCCACCTTTTTCCAGGTAAAGCAACTGAACCAGTCTTTTCTGATTTGACCGATTTGTTTCCTCCTTTTTTTTTTTTAAGAATAATCTTTATTGGTTTTTCAGTTGCGTACTCCACATACACATATTGTATTACATTTTACATTTATACTTGCTCCTAAGAGCTGACTTCCCTCCTTCCTTCTTCTGGCTTTTTTATAACACATCTATTTTTTCACATTGTCTTCATCCCTTTTATATGTTGTTCTTCTTCCGTATTTGTCTATCGAATGTCTATAAACAAATAAATCCTTCTATATATACAATTCGTGTTGTCTGTCTATATTCATTTACAACTAATATTATTTACATTAGTCACATTGTACATTTTACTTCTTATTGTTTTTATTATCCAATAACTTTCTTTGCATTTCACATTATGAGGTTTATTTCAATTCTGCTGGTTTCACTATTTCACCTTATCTTTCCTATGTACGACATAAATTGTTCCCATTCTTTTTGAAATGTTTCTTCGCCCTGTTGTCAAATTTCCCCCGTTAATTTAGCTATTTCTGCATATTCCACTACCTTCTGTCACCATTCTTCTACTGTTGGCAATTGCTGATGTTTTCAAATCTGGGCTAATAATAACCTCGCTGCTGTTGTTGCATATAAGAATAATTTCTGATCATTCTTAGCAATATCTTCTCCTTGTTTCCTCCTTTTAGCTTGAGATGTTGGGGACTTTTGGGTTACTTTCTTTTTTTGCCCTTTTCTCAGAAACCACTGAGGTATGCCTACTGCTTTTAGGAAAAGGCGGTGACTTGACAGGCAGAAACCACTGATCGTCTGCCTAGCACAATTTGCTTTAGTGCTGTTGAACACTCCTGAAATCAAATTTGCAGAGGATTATGCAGAAAATATGACACATACCTGGCTAATAGAGAGACTTTTGGCTAGGAGTGAGTAGGTGGCAGAATGCTTTCATTTTGTAAGT